AGCTCCTCACCCTCACTCAAGAACGAGCAGGGCATCACCCACAGGTGATTTTACGAGACTCACTGGTCTTCAGCATACCCAGGATGCTTAACAGCCACTCAGGGCTTCCCAAACTTAGCATCAGCACCAGCTTTTGCCTTCTCAGTTGGCTTTTCTCCTCTGTCTGGCTGCTGGGCATACACAGGCTGCTTTTGGCCATCAAGGCCCACTGGCCACCCCCAGATTCCCATCTCCTGGGGTGTACAAACAATAGCATCCTCCCCCAGGGTCCCAAAAACTTAACTTGCCAAAGTTCCTCCACCTTCTGGCGAGATTGTCAGTCCAAGTTCATCAGTCCAAGTCCGTTAGGCCTCTCCCTGCATCAGCACTGGCGAGCTCCGAATCGTGGTCCTCTCTTCCCGATGATTACTGCTGCCTCAGGGGTCTTTGGCTGTTTCTCTCGGGTGTCTCCTTCATGCAAGGTCTCATCCCGCAGCTCCCAGACCTTGTCCCTCTCCTGTGCCGCCATGACACCTCCAGCGCTGTCATAGGCAAACACAGTCTGTTACTCCTTAGTCCCTCCAGGTCTTCGGAGGGCTCCATACCCGTCTGCATGGATCATCTTGCCAACTTATGCCAATTGTAAGGTCAGGAATGGACACAGTGCAGGTTTTCTAGGATCCCATGCAGACCGGGTAAAGGAGAAGTCAGAGTCCTCAGTGGCTTTTTGCAGGCTTTTATTGGGGTTTACCAGGTTGTAAGGGCAGGACTGGACACAGTGCAGGTTTTCTGATCCCATGCAGACCGGGTAAAGGAGGAGTCTGAGTCCTCAGTAGTTTTGCAGGTTTTTTTTATTGGGGTTCACCAGGCATATGACAGGCAGGGGTGCTGGCTGGGGGGCTGGGAGGTCTACCAGCAAGTCTTCACTCTATCTGGGCGCTCTAGCGTTCGTTCTGCTGCTTCTCGGCTTCTCTTTCGGCTTCATACTGCTGCTGCTGCTACTGCTGCTGCTGGCGTCCCCCTGACGCTGCCCTTAAAAGCACAGTCTTAGCTCAGCTGAATCCCATCTACCTATGCCCACACCCTATTCCAGGTGCCCGCCATCAGGCATGCATTCAGGACAAGGATCCATCATCTATCCTGATGGCGGAAGGGCAGAAAAGCCTGATATTTTCTTTACCCTACACAGGTACACAGCAGGCAGGTACACAGATGGCAGGCCTCCCAGCCCCCACCAAATCTTCACTCTATCTGGGCTCTCCGGCCTTCTCTCTCTCGGCTTCTGCTGCTGCTTTCTCGGCTTCTCTTTTGGCTTCTGCTGGCGTCCTCGTGACACCGCCCTTAAAAGCCCAGGTGTAATCCCATCTACCTTTGCCCACACCCTATTCCAGGTGCCCGCCATCAGGCATGCATTCAGGACCGCAAGGATCCTTCATCTATCCTGATGGCGGGAGGGCAGAAAAGCCTGACATTTTTTCCTTACCCTACAGATGGGTAGTGGCCTGGGTCCTTTCCAAGGCTTGCCCTCCCTTGGCACCCTGGACACAGTCTCCTTTGCCCTGCAAATAAAACTGGAGATGCCCCCCTCCCACCTCAGGGCTCCAGTGCTTGGCCCCAGAAGCTGTTTGCAGTCAGTGCAATTGGCTGCAACTGACAAGCATTTTACCACCCACCACCGGTGGCCCCATAGGGTTCAGGCTGCAAGCAGAGGACAGCAGTGATGGTGGGGAGGTAGTGATTCCTCTATCACACCACCCCAGAGTGTGCAACCCCTGGTTCAGGGCTGCAGGGAGAAGCATAGGGTCCCACAGGCCAGCTCTAATGTTGTGGCTCCCTCCAGCTGCATGCAGTAGAGAGGCCCATGGATTTGGTGCCTGGATCATAGAATGGACTCAACAGGTGCAAGCTGTGTGCTGATTGGTGCAATGGTCCAATCAGACTTGTAGGTGGAGGGAGGGGGGTGGAAATCAGGAAAGAGGATATAAGGTAGGGCAGGTAGCAGCTTGGGACTCTGACTCTGGGTTCCTGGTCTCAGGATAGACATGCTCTGACACACTCTGTTCCTAAGAAAGACTCTTCTTAAGAAAGACTCTGTTCCTGACCTCTGAAGAAAAAAGAATTTGGCCTAGGACCGACCTCCAAAGGAAGAAGAGAAGCCAAAAAGCTTTGCAGAGAAGTCAGAGTTTAGCAGAGGCCAAGGCTGCTGCACTTGTCTCTGATATAGCCTGCAAAGAGCGCCAAAGGCCCCAGGCCTGGTGTCTCAAAGAGCTGGCTTTTTTTTTAACTTGCATCGAAGAACTGGGGTCTAGGCCAGAGGTGTGGAGTGGGAGGTTAAGGAGATTCACCAGAGACAGTGGGGAGCAGAACAGGCAGATTTACTGATATACACTGCTGAGGGGAGCAGTAGGCAAGACAGGAGGGGTCTGCTGTGTCATGTGGGTTAGCTCTCTGGCTGGGGATGGAACTCAGGCCATAGCAGTGATAGCGCTGAAACTTACCCTAGGCTACCAGGGAGCCCCCCTCAAAGAGCTCTTTGTTGGTGTGGGGCAACTCACAAAGAACTGGAATGCTAGTGAGTAGGTGACGAGCACTACTGGCAACTGCTATCCAATCTGAGGCCAGGAACCGAGAGTCAGAGTCCCAAGTTGATGTCTGCCCTGCCTCATGTCTTTCTGGGACCCCCACCTACAAGTCTGACTGAACTGTTTTCAATCTTATGGCTGTTTGGACCATAGCATCAACCAGCTCACAGCTTGCACCTGTTGGGTCCATTCTATGACCCATGCACCAAATCCACGGGCTCTCTACAGCCCACAGCTGGAGGCAGCCACAGTGTTCATTGGAGCTGGCCTGGGGGGACCCATGCTCCTCCCTGCAGCCCTGAACCAGGGGCTGCATGCGCTGGGTGGTGTGGTAGAACCACTGCCCCCCACAGTCACTGCTGGCCTCTGCCTGCAGTGTGAGACCCAGAGGGGCCACCAGTGGTGGGTGGTAAAGTGCCTGTCACCTGCTGCCACTTGCACTGCTCTTAAGCAAATTCTGGGGCTGGGAGCCAGTACCCCGAGGTGGAGGGGGGTGGGTCTGCGGTTTCACAGGGATGCACCTCTGTCCTCATACTCTTGGCTCATTCTCATCATCAAAAAACACTCAAAAATATAGAAATGACCCAACAACTTTTAAAGGTACAAACCTCTGGACCTGCAGTTTTTTCCACCTCCTGCAGTCCCATCTTCTCCCCACTTTCTGGCAAGAGCTATCTACTTCCTATTCTCCCATGATGACCCCTCCAGGCTCCACCCTCACTGCTTCAGAGAGTCACCCCTCACAGTGGCCACCTGCCTGCTGTGACATCCAGGGGTCCTCTGCCCAGCTCCCTGGTTCTGGGCCTCAGCAACGCTGACAGTCCCTCTGCTTTCATGTGACATGTTTCTTCTGGGCCTCTGGGAAACACTTTCTCTTTCTCTTCTTATCTCCCCACCAGTATTCCTTGTCTCTTGCTGGTTCCTCCTGGTTCTCTACCATGAGTACCAGGGTATTCAGAGCTATTAAGCATCTCCAATTTCACACAGCCACAAACTTCTGATCTTGTCCCTGAAACCTGTCTCAGTAAATAACAATTCCATCCTTTCAGCTGCTCAGGCCAAATCTTTATTCTTGACTCCTCATTTCCTCTAATAACAAATCTAATCTGCAGTGAAATCCCACCAGCTCTTTCTCCATATGTTCCAACTTGGACCATGTCATGCCACCTCCATGACTGTGACCTGAGTGCAAGTCCTTCTGGGCCATTGAAATAGCTTCTTGTGTGGTTTCCCCACCTCCATTCCCTACCTGTCTGTTCATTTTACTTTGGCCAGAAATGATCTTTAAAAACTGCACCTCAAATCTATTGTCTCTGCTTAATCCCTCCAAGGGCTTTCCACTTCATTTAGAGTGAAATATAAAGTCCTAAATATGGAGACAAGGACAGGAGCAACCTGAGCTCCCTCTATTTCTGCCTGTTCTCATTCTTTTCCCTCCTCCTCTCATGGCTTCCCAGCACCTACACCTGACTCTGCTGCTATGCTCCTGCTTCAAAGTTTCTCTACAGGGATTTATAGGGTTCTCTGGTTAATCATCTATTGCTGCAAAACCAATCACCTCAAAATTAGTGACTTAAAATAATGCCTTTGGATATTTTGATCTCTCCATGGCTTCTTTGCTTCCTGTAGAATGTTTGTTGGGTTCCCAGGTGAACGTCTCAAGGGGACCAGGCAGAGCTCATGGCCCCTCGTAACCTGGCCTTAGAATTCACTAAGCCACTAAGGCCTTAGTAATCACAGGTCCACCCAGATCTTAGGGGAGGGAACAGGGACCCCACTTTTTGATGGAGGGAAGTCAGCATCAGGGGGTGGATGATTTTTGGTGGCCACACTTTTTCTCACAGTGAATAAACTCCCCTGGCAAGACCCCCCATCTCCCTGCCTTGATTTAATTTTATTCATAAAATTCCTTTCTACATTTTAGTGCTCCATAAATATTTGTTAAATACATGAATAAATCATCATGACAACTAAAAAGGTGGTGGAGAAGAAGCATTTTCATGAAGCATTTTCTACCTGCTAGGCACTGAACAAGTAGTTATACCTGTCATCTCATTGCATTCTCCTAACAACTCTGGGAAGGATTCATGTACTTATTTCACTAAGAGGAAAGCTAAGGCTGAGAGAAGTATACACAGCTGGGAAGAGGTGGGGCTGAGGCTCTACTGAAACTTTTGGCCACCATACAATGCACTTTACTTCTTTGGGCCACTGCAGGCGGGGGACAGAGTGGACAAAAGAACACGTGTTTGTCTTCACCCCAGTCTTGGAGAAGAGCTAATGGGTGCTGTGGGAGATGGCAATTGTAGTGTGCTTAGCTGTGGTTGCCCAAGGCAGGATGTCACTGGGCATCCCCTGAGAGGCCCTGTGGGCAGGGATGGGTATATCCATGATCCTTACTTCTCTCTTCTCTCTCCCACTTTCTCGCTTTCTTTCCAGTATGGGTGACTGACAGCTCCATCCTTGTGAAAACCCCGACGGAAACGATTCTGGGTACTGAGGGAAAGAGCATTGTCCTTCCGTGTAATTACAGCACTACTGCCTCCAGCCTAAGAGGATTGATCCAGTGGAACAAACTCCTCAAGAGTCATACGGTGGGTGGAGACCCTTAAAAATTTGGGGGCATCATTGAAATGATACTCATCCGACCATGACCTTGCAAAGAGCAATCACTACAGAGTCTTCCAATAGATGTCAGCACCCAGGCAGGGCTGGGTGGGGAAGGAGCAGTTTGTGCTAGGCCCAGGAAGGAGCATAGTATGTCACTTTTATGTTAACAAAGTCACCTTCCCCAAACTCTTTCTGTTGACCAGTCTCAATGACCAAAATTGTATCCTCTGAGTCAGTCATTTCTTTTGATCAGCACTGCACTCTCCCTGAGACCAAATTTTATAAGTGTTTTGGTTTTTTCCTTTTTGAATTCTTTGGGGGAGTATGAAAGAGGCTTTATTTTCTATTTCTATTTTGGAAGAGAACATAATCCCATGACTCCAAAACTGAAATATCATAAATCCCCGCCACTAGGCCACCCCCCACCAGACCACCCCCCACCACTTACATACAAGGCAAAGCTGATTTGCACTGGCATTGATTGCTCAGGGCCAGCATCTGTTCCAAATTGGTTGGTAATGCAGCAACAATTACTAAATATTTGTAATATCACTCTTGAATAAGATAACTGATTTAGTTTGTGTTTCTTCTGGTGAGTATTTATGAAAATGCAAGAAATGTAATTACATAGCTTCATACAGACGTTGCCTCTGTGTTTCTGTTGTCCCCCTTTTTTTCTTCACAAAAGGTAGCATATTCTAGGCACTTGTGCCCTGGCATTTTTCACATCACAGTTCCTGAATAGCTCATTACCACTTAATTGCGAGCATTGTCACCCTTTTAGAGCTGCATAGGGGCCCACAGTGTGGAGACCCCTCGCTGTTTAGCCACCTCCCCATGAAGGATGCTTGCTCACCTCCAATCCCCCTACAACCAAGACTAACCTGTCACATGGGCCATGCTATGTGTGCACATGTACCCATGAAGCACTTTCTCACAAGCAGTAAGAGCTTTTATCAAATTGCCCTCCAGCAGGGAGCATTCTGTGTTTCCACCAGTGATCACCAGCATGCCTGCATCCCTGCAGCCCTGTGCGTGTGGATTGTCTAAGTGACACAGACACAAGATCAAACAGCACAGAGGCAGGCAGGGTACAAATATGCCCACCCCATGCGTGAGCAAGAAGTTACAATGAGAAAGCTGAGGCCCTTCAGCTTCTGTTCCCTCACCAAAGACAACCAGTCTTCTCCAGTGACCTGCGGAGGCTCTTATGCAAATACAGAAATTGACATTTGAATATGGACGTTTATGTGTAGCCATACACTGTGCTGTGCTTGACCTTTTTCTTTTCACAATATATTTTGGAGCTCTCTCCATCTGTCAGCACATTTAGATCATTCTTTTACCACTTGCATTCAGTATTTCATTCTATGAATGTACCAAAGATGGACATTTGGTCTGTGTTCTACAATACTGCAATAAATATCCTTAGATGCATGTCTCTGGATATTATTATTATTATTATGAATGTGTCATCTTTCATTAGCATTTTACATACCACCAACCACCTCCCCATCTTGGTGTCTTCCTCAGCGTTGTGACTGTCTCTCATGGCTTTCCTCTTCTCTCCCCTCTCGACCTTTCAAAGTGAAGTAACTCTGGGACTTGCCATTTCTCTACTCATTTACCTCGGGCGGCTTCATCAAGCCCATGACTCAGTTAACACCCATATGTCACTGACCACCTCCCCAGCCCCCATCCCAGCTGCACTCAGCCTACCCGCCTGGCTCCAGCTGAACTTCTCCACCTGGGTGTCCTCCCACACTCAGGCAGACCACCTGTAAGCACAATGCATCAGTTCTTCCTTAAAACTTCCTCTTTCTAGGTGTTTCCTCTCATGGAAATGACATCACCAGTCACCCAAACAGCCAAGCAAAACTTGTCCCCCTGGAGCGATGCCACTGCCTAACATATACATTTGATCTGACTTCATCTCCAAATGCTATCTCTTTCACAAGTCTCAAATTCATTTTTTTTTTTCTATCTGCACTGCTACAACCTTAGCCAAAGACCATCATTTTTCACTTAATTCCCAGCCTCATCTCTTAACTGGTTCTCCTTTGCAACCTGTGTTGAAAACTAACTTCCTAAAATACATGGCTATCTAGTGTTTCCAGCACAAAATGCAAACTATTCCAACCACACACGCAACAGATGGCCAGGCATCTGTCCATCTGGCAAGGCATCCCTAGGGCCTGGGCTCTGAAGCCCAGATGCCTAGTTTGAATCCCAGTCTTGCCACATTAACTTGGGAGAGGTATTTACCCCTCAATGCCTGGTTTCCTCACACGTAAAACAGGCATAATCATAATACCTGCTTCATGGGGATTTCATGAGGATTACATGAGACCACGCAGATGCTTATACTAGCACGTAGCAGACTCAACAAATAGCAGCTATGGTCCTTCTGGCTTCCTGTCCAATCTCCCCTTTCACCGCCCCTCCTCATATACTCAACCCCATTCCTACTGAACCACTTGGGACTGGATGTATCGTTTCCCATTTCCAGCTCTTTCTCTATCATTCTTTCTTTAACTGACATGCCAAACACAGTTATTCTTCTCCAACAATCACCACCCCAGTGCCCCCAGCCCTTCACCAGTGAAGATCAAGTGGTATTTCATCTCCTCCCCCAGGAAAGCGTGTTCACGCAGTTCTTGGGAACAAATGAAACCACCTTTGGTGAACGTTATATAAATCGTGTCAAGCTGTCAGGCGACCCTCTACAGTCAGACGCTTCCATCATCATTGACCGGCTGACCATGGAAGACAACGGCACCTATGACTGCTCAGTGACACTGTTATCAGACAAGGGCGGCACGTCCCAGTCACGTCTCAACCTCATGGTGTTGTGTGAGTATCCCATATCCTTCCTGGGATGGAAGGAAGAGGGTGGTGATGGGTGGGGGCAGAAGGAGGAGAAGAACCCTGGGGTTAAGATGAAGCCAGAAGCAGGCAGCCAAGCCTGCCTAGGAGCTAAGAATTCACCTCCATCACCTCCAGCCACCTGGGGCAGGAGGCCGGCTCCTTCCTTTGGATCAGAGGACTGTTCTGAGTTCTCTGTCAATGACTGTCAGCAGACAGAGCTGCTCCCCAGGGCAGAGGAGAAGCCTGGCTTGAAGTGCTCCCTGAGGGCCAGCCTTGGAGCTTCTGTCCATCTCTTCTCCCTCCATCCCAACTCTTCTCTGTCGCATGCCAAACTTTTAAAGAAAAGCAAAAAGGACACCCCCTAAATCCTCTTGTAAAGACTCTCGTGGTACCTTACTTTGATGTTCTGAGGTGAAATCATGACTCCCTTAAAGGTAGTGCATCTTTTCCTGTTCTAAAGTCAGCTTATCAGTAGAACCCGTCACACCACCAGCTCCCCAGCCCTCTAGTCAGATTCTACCACCTTTGAAATATGTCCCAAGATAACATTTTTTTCATACAAATGACTTCTTATTGCAGTTGATAGTTTTAGAAAGATCTATAAGATCATCTATTTTGGTATTCCCACTTTGTAAATGAGACTCAGGAAAGGGAAGCACATGACTCAAACAGTTAATGGGAAAAACTTGAGTGAATGCTTACTGTAAGTCCAGTGCAAAGGATGGCCCCCGCCCTGGGAGGTGGCAACTTATTAAATCAAAACAATGGATCCGTTTTCCTTTATTCTTTACCCTTTGCACTACTTGGTGGGAGTTTATTTTTAATTGCTTAGGTAGCTGCCTGGCTTTTTGAAGTATTACAGCAAGTCAGACAATATAGCCCTGAAAAAAAAATAACTAACCCTTGCCTCCTCCCTCCAGTGGCTAGAGCCCTCCAAATACTGGGGTATAGTCTTCCACACTTTCCCCTATGTCCTCTCAACAAGCACACACACTCATACATTCGTACACTCACACTCAATACACATACTCACACCTTGTTTTTCTTTCTTTCCTTTCATTAAAAGATAATATAAATGTTATAAAATGTTACAATGCTTAGACATATTATAAATTATATAAATATTATACATAGAACTTGCAATTTTCTTTAATGCTTCATGCACATTTCTCCAGAGCAATACACATAGAACCATCTATTAACAGCAAACATGTGCTGAGACTTATCCCCATGTTCCTTATGATGGACATTTAGGTGGGTTCTTTTTTTTTTTTTAAACAATACTGCAATATATAGACGCAAATACATATATATGTAAATATATACATGTATATGAAAGAATATATAATGTATGTATATTAAAAGAACATCTATAGCATGTATGTTCTTTCACTGTGCTGCTTTTATTTCTATTGGAGAAATTCCTAAAAAGTCAGATTTCTAGATGGATGATTAAGCCTTCATTAAGAGTTATCCATAAGCAGATTACTTTCCCCAAAGTAGCATAACTGCTGTGGGCATTATATGAACATTCTTGTACTCTCATATACTTACCAATACTGACTGTTATCAATCTTTTTCATTTTTGTAAATTTAATTGATTTTTTCCAGGAGGAAAAAAACCAATGTTTATCAATATGTTAATCTCAAATCTGATTAACCTCACATGTCGCCATTGCTTGCGGATCAGAAATGGAGAAATGAAGGCTTAGGTCTGTCTCTACTCTCCTTAGTCCCCCTCCTCCTATTCCTGAATCCTCTGAGGTCAAGGCCAAGGGCAGGAGGGCTCACCTGGTGGGGCCACCTGTAGTTCTCCCTTGACTGGCACTTAATCCCAGTCAGAGTATCCATCTCACTACTGCCTCCTCCATGGGGGTTGTCGTGGGGTCTCCAGACCTCCAGGGACCTCCTGCTGACACAAGGAGAGCGTGACATCCTCTCCTGCCCCTTCTGTAATGGCACTCGCTGCTGTCTCCATGTCCAGGCTAGTTCCCTGAGCCCCAGGAAGGCCTTGTACCCCTCTGAACCCTGAGCCTGGGAAAGCGGTCCCCTCTTACCATTCCACTCTTTCTTTGCCTGCTTCTATGGGAAAAAGAGGAACACCAGAGTCTGCCCTCAGTAGGTCCCTGATCTCTGGGGAGGTCTACACGACCCTTCCACTGCATTATCCAGGAGCAGCCCTGCAGGAGCGTTTGGGGAGCTCAGCCAGGGAGTGAGAGATGGCAGCCCCCAGACATAGGTAACCCAGTCTCCTGTGGGATTCCCTTGGTGCCTCCCCTGAGATGGGGGGACCATCACCTTCCCTTCCCTGAGGAGAGGGAGGGGCAATGCTCTTGGATACCTACCCCTGAGAATCCTCTTCAAAGAAATATCCTCCCTGATGAATCTCGTGTCTTATCTCTAGAGGCTGAAGGAAGGTAACTAAGAATCAGAGGGTTTGGCCTGGGCTGTTTTCCATTCCTCTCCCAAGTACTGAGGACAATTACATCCAGAGTCCTCAATCTGGAGAAATTTTGTTGGAAATGCTGAGACTCAGGACCATTCCCACACCATCTCCTGCTGACGTGTTTTATCTCAGATTTTCGGGTCTCCTGTCTTATACAAGGTCTATTACCACCACTTTTAGGGTCATATGAATAATCTCAAAGATCTATTCTTAAGTCTGTATACTTTATTTTAACTCGGACATTTATTTCATCTGGAACTTATTTTTATAGATACAGTGCTAGGAGTCTAACTTTTGTTTTCTTCCAGACAAATTGCCAATTATGTCAACATCATTTATTGTCCCAAAGAAACAATTGCTAACCCGCTGGGATGCCAGCCTTGTCACACATTAAGCTTTTACATCTACATGGCTGGTTTTTTACTTCTTATTTTGGTCATTTTCCATTTGATTACTCCTATGCCAATATCATGTGCTTTTGATTACAATATTTTATATGTAGTTAGTAAATCAATTTTTTTGGTAAATTTGTCCAACTGACAAATTTACCTGGAACTATATAATATCTTCTTTCATTAAAGTTTTTCAAAAATGCTGACATCTTACATGTTTATACTCCAAGTTAATTTTAAACCATTTGGTCCAGTCTTTTTAAGTTGATTGGAATTATATTCAATTAACAAATTGGTTTTTAAAGGAATGACATTTTAATTTCAAATCCTCTCGCCTAGGAAGATGCTTTATCATATTGTAAGTGCTTTAGTAACAAGTAATCTCTATTGATAAAATTCCAGACTTCATGTGGACAAACAAGGACCCTTTGTATTTATTTAGTTGTTAGGAGGAGAGCCAGGAACCCCTTTCTAAACCCTGCACTCTTCCTACAAAGCTAAATATCCAGTCTCTCTGCCCCTCTATTTGTAAACCAAAGGGATCAGTAGTCAGTGAATGAAAACTGCCATCAACTGGCAAAATCTTTGCCTGTGGGAATTGTTACAGACAACATCAATTTCACTATCTCAGTCACCCCCTTTTATTGAGGACATACTGTTATAGAGCAACCCCGATATTAAACGGGTTCCTGGCTGTGGGTCCTCACCCGCGCGCTTTAAAGGGACTTATGAATACTCTACTACAGACACACGCAAAAGGGTTAATAAAAGGTTTATTTACAAGAGAAAAGGAAATAAGGAAAATGTACAACTCAGGGAGAAAATAGGGAAATAAAGTCTTTAATGCGTCCTACCCGATCTGACGACCTGGAAACCCCAAAGTCACTCTCAGAGCTGGCCGGACGCTGCGAGCTGGCCGAGCGCCCAAAAATGGAGAGAGAGAGCCCCCAAAGCCCACGTGTCTGCCTTTTGTATCCACCTGGCTGCTTAACCCCACCCTCAGGTCCCAGCCACCTTCCCTTTGGTGGTGATGGGATTTGGAGTTCCCGGTGTCTTTGGCTTTGACCTGGGGTGGGGGTGGAGTCCACAAAGCCTATATGGAATTTGCTTTGGGACATCCTTTTCCCCCTAACAATACCATATGCCAGCCATCTCACTAAACATTCCACGGATATAATCTCATTTTTTCTTTACAACACGTTAGTGAATGTGGTGCTAACATTCCTGTTTAACAGATGACAACAGTGGGGCTCAAGAGGCTAATCACTAAAAAATATCTTAGCTTTCATGGAAGCTGGGTTGCCGGAACCCAAAGCTGCTGCACTGCCCCATGTAAGCCTGTCTTTCCCAGCAGGCAATCCTCCCAGTTCAAGATGACCCCTAAACTCCTAGATTCCCTAGCTTTTCACTGTACCCCTCTTGTACTCCATACCAAATGTAAGTCTCAACATACATTTTATCTTGCCCTCTGTGAACTTGTGTTGGCCATACCTGTGCCCACACCAGTGCGAGAAGGATGGAGGGCAGAGCAGTGTGGGCCTGGGTGCGCCCATTTGCCCTCTTGTGAGGTGATTTGTCTCAATGGCATCTGAGACACAGCACTTACTGAGAGCTGAGCATCTGTAACTGCTCTTCTACACTGAAGGACCTTGCTAGGGGTCTGGGAGATGAAACCCGGCCACCCCTTGGGTACCTGGATGGTTGTTTCTGGGATTTCCTGGACATCTCTGAAGGTCTTGGAGCTCTAGAAACATTCCCACCCATCTCATCGCATGGCCAAAGCTGTTGCTATCCACTTTACCATCTTCTAGCACTAATGCAGCTGTGCTTAGTTATCAGGGGGTGTAGATAGCATGTGGGATGTGCCTTTGCCCTGGTTCTGATACCGGAATTGTCAGGCCTAGTCTCCCAGCCAGGAACGGATCCCAGGCTGCAGGGCAGCGCTGAGCCCCAGCCACTAGACCCCCACGGGTTGGTGTCTCACGAAGCCGCAGCAGGAACTTCGCAGACGCTCAGGCAAGCAAGCGAGAAGAGGCAGGTTTGTTTTGAGAAAGAAAAAGTTTATTGAGGAGAAAAAGAGCAGAAATAAAGTGGGACTCCCAGGCCAGGAAACCAGGCCTGGGAGGGGCAAGGAAGCCAAAGTGGAG